GGGTTTCCATGTTACAAGATCAGTATATTGTACTGTGCGCCTGCCACACAAGGGAATCACTTGATGACTGATAGAACAGTTTTTTTGGTGTCAAGTTAATACCTATTTTTTCTCATTTGTAGAGAGACTAAGTGGAAAAAGCCTCATTTCTTTTATCTTCTAGCCTGTGGGCCAAATCCACTGGCTGCCTATTTTTGTAAAACATGTTTTATTGGAACACAACTATAACTCTTTGTTTATGTATTGTCTATGATGCTTGAAAAGCAGAGTTGAATTGTGGAAACAGAGATTGTAGTCCAAAAACACCCCAACAAAAACATTTTTTACTATCTTGGATTTTACAGAAAAAAATTTGCTTACTCTTCTTTTAACCCATGGCTTTCACACTTTTTTGGATATGTTCTAAGGGAATTAAGATATTTTACATTCCTACAAACATATGTGAATACGCATAGACAGGAATATATCTGGGAAAATATTTTATGTGGTAATTTTTCTTAATATACTCCCGCCCCTATTGAATCCTATTCTCTTTCAGCTTTTAAAGTATGTTGTTTCTATCTTAACTGCCAAATGCTATCTTACCCTCATACTCAGGACTATGAAAGCACTATTTTATGCAAATATCAATGTCACTCATCTATTTAGAGCATTGAGTTTAGTTTAGCAATACATTTAATGTAAAATAGAAAATTTATTATCTTTGCTATTATGAGCAAGCAAAAGGAAAAAAACCCCACATGAAATGTCAGCCATCTGATATACTACCATAAAGGAAAGATTGGAAGAGACAACATGTAACCTGTGGGAACATCAGGATTCTATGAATTTAAGGACGTGAGATTGTTTACAGTGCTTCCTCAAGAACTTTTTTTTTTTTTGCGTCCGAGGTCTGTGGCTGTCCTTGAGGACAAGACAGTCACTAAGGGCCATGACATTTCTCTGCATTCAGGGAAGCTTGGGAAGGTGCACTGATCTACTAATCTTGGTGATAAAGGATTTGAGGTTCCAGAAAGGAGAGTCTTCCTCTTTCTTTTATTTTTGGACCCCAAGTTTATTTCAGTTCCTTCGCCTGATGAGAGGTACATTGTTGGAACAGTCAGTGCTTTCCCAGGTAGACCAGTTGTCGGCTCAGCCTCCTTCTCTGCCTCTGACTGTGGCACCACAGGCTGGTGTTGTGGAAAGGCCGGGCTGACCTCATAGCGTCACTCTTAAAAGGCAGGAATGGAACACTTTTGTTGAATACCTACCATGTGCCAGACACTGAGTGCTATTTACACACATTTTCTCGATTAATCCTTATTTCAAGCTCATGAGAGTTTTTTCAATATTCCTATTTATCATAAAAAATATCCACCAAACTCAAAACCCCTGAATACCAGAGAGATCCCCCAATGAGCAGCGATGGAGCCTAGATTGAAAATCAGCTGCTGTAAGCCCATTGATTATTTTTCATGTTACCATTTTGCTAGGAATGTATTCTTCTTTTCTTAGCTATTTATCATCAATCAATGTGTTAACAGACCTTTTTAAAATTTATTATTTGCATTGTTTCCTTATGATAGTTAGAACTAAAAAATTAGATTTTCTCATCTAATACTGTCTCTTAACTATTTTTTTTAAAAAAAACTACTTATAATTCACCCACACTTCATGAGTTATAGGTCCTAGGACTGACATTGAATTATCTTGAACAACTCTGGTCGTTTGTAAACTGTTAATTCTTTAAAAATAATGGTTTTAATGCATGCCAGGAACAGTTTTCAACACTTCATGTATACCCTATCCCAGGGGTGGGCAAACTTTTTGACTCGAGGGCCACAATGGGTTCTTAAACTGGACCGGAGGGCCGGAACAAAAGCATGGATGGAGTGTTTGTGTGAACTAATATAAATTCAAAGTAAACATCATTACATAAAAGGGTACGGTCTTTTTTTTTTAGTTTTATTCATTTCAAACAGGCCGGATCCGGCTCGTGGGCCGTAGTTTGCCCATGGCTGCATCCTTTAGTTATCTGCCAAACCCTATGATGTAGGCACTGTTATTGTCTTCGCTTTATAAGTGAGGAAACTGAGGCAGTGGAGGTGATTGACTACTAAGCAGAAGAGCCAGAATCAGGCCCAGGCCACCTGCGTCCACAGTCTACCTGCCAAACATCTACGCTCTCCTGCTTCTTCCTAATTCATTGGTTACTTACCCTTTCTAGTTCTGTCTTCAAAATCTATCAATTTATGTCCATTTCTATTTCTCAAGAAGGATAATAGGACCACTCAGAGAAACATGCAGAAGATGAACTGAATTTTAGTAGTTAAGTTTTGAAACAGAAACAAACATTTAAGGTATCTTTAGTGTTTTGCTTCTTCTACATCTGCATTATGTGAATGGTATATATCCTTTATAATAGGCCTTCAATAAGAATGCAAATTCAATTCAAATTTACTTAGTCTTGACTTTGAACTAATGGTAGAGCTGTTACCACCACACTGCATTGCCTGTGGTTGATGTTTGCCTCTTTCTGTGGGTCTCTGATTTTTCAGATCAAAAGGTGGAACAGAGTTGTGGTTGGAGGACAGACTCCTCAGGAGCAGTCTCTGTCACACCCCAACACACCAGTGATAGCGATATGACCCGGTCTCATATGAACTTCCAAGGTGTTTGGGTCTTAAAGTTGAAAAGGCTGAAAGGAAAGGAAAATGGCAGGATATTCTGCATGCAAACGGGATATGGAGGCTTCCCAAGGCGAATCAGCTGAGCTCTGTTTTAAGACATCTTCCGTCATGTATTCACAAAGATATCTTACACAACATGTGTTCAGTTCTTCTATCCCCTCTAACTCCTTTGACATAGTTGACGTTCACAATGTGCATCAGATCAGTTGTCTCTTCGTGTAGCGATTAGCCCTTGTCTTCAGAAAATGCAGCTCAAAGTTTTTTAGAGGCTTTCAATGGCATTAAGAACTTCGTTGCCGAAACCGGTTTGGCTCAGTGGATAGAGCGTCGGCCTGCGGACTGAAAAGTCCCAGGTTCAATTCCGGTTGGGGGCATGTACCTGGGTTGCGGGCACATCCCCAGTAGGAGATGTGCAGGATGCAGCTGATCGATGTTTCTAATTCTCTATCTCTCTCCCTTCCTCTCTGTAAAAAGTCAATAAAATATATTTAAAAAAAAAGAACTTCGTTTTCCGTATGTAAATTGCACAGAAAATGGTCTTTAATTTTTTTTTATCTAATGCTGGAAATAATTTCCTGTGTATTCTTCCCCATCATTCTGAGAATATGTGGAAAATGGTGCGTAATTTAACAGATGGGATAATTTAATGTTGGGTCTATTTCCTTATTGTGCTTTGAAGCCATTTCTGATATAGCCATTTCTGATTTTGAAGCGTGATGAAATTTTAATTAAAACAAAATAGTACTCTCATTTGACTTTTCTTTCCATTCTGAGTGTGTGCAAAGGGGAAGCAGCTTACAGTAGATACTGTT